ATGATGGAGACAAAAACATGATATGCTGATGATAAAATTGTGTAGGCTGAGTTGGTGGTTGGAGGAGCTGTCGGAGTTTGTTGCCACGGTGCAGGTGCTGGAGCATCGGCTACGACTTCAATGACAAGCTTTTGGCCGCCAGAAGCACAGTGAGATCCGACAGTACAAATATACCATTTTTTTCCAGGAGAAGCCAATGTGATTTTGTCATCTCCACTTGTAAGAGGTGAATTTTCATCAGGTGCTATGCAACTTTTAAAACTAGCACCATCTACTTTTGCCACATTATGCTTACCAGCAGTATATTTGAATACTATACCAATAAAAAAAATTAATATCAATAACACATGATATGATAGAAAAGACATTATAAGTCCAACTTAGTTACTGAATCAAACATTATAAGTCAGTTAATATTAACTTATAATATATTTATAAAGTGACAAACTCAATATTTTCAATAAGATTCGAACTTGTAATTTTTTTAATAAAACACAATAGTTTTAATTATTAAACCACTTTATTATTAGTAGTTAAGTATATTCTTTATGTGTTACATTGTGCGTGTGTCACTAAACCGATTTAAGTAGCATTTCAATATGGGTTGTGAAACTAAAACTTTTAGTGCTAAAAATGTAAGTTATTTTCATAAATCCAAAATTTGTGCTTATAATTTAATTATCCTAAAATTTTTGTAATATATATATATACATGTCTTTAATTTCATAATTTAGAATAAATTAATAATTGGTACTTAATAATACATACTTATTTTTCTTTTTATTTAATTCCACGATTATATGCATGTCTCAACTTATTAATAAAATGTATGAATTTCTACTCAAAAAATAAATATATAGTAATTAATTTCTAGAATATATACTCTTATATATACTAAAAAAAGTTATATATAGATATACTACATATATGTGTGTGTGTGTGTGTGTGTGTGTATAGATACATACCAAGTACATCTCCAACACGAAATACTTTGTCCTTGGCCCATCCTTGATAATCGAAGTTATTGTTCTTCCACTGATTAGAATCGCCGACAATGTATTCGGTCGCCACTGCAATTGTGGGAAGAACAATGGCGATGACAGCAAGGATGATGAGATGATTAGAAGTCATTAGAGCTTAATTTGAAATTTGTATTCAGATTAAGCTCTTAATTGCTTTTGATTTGTTGATTTTGATTGCGAGATTTATATAGTGATTTCATTCATTAACATCATCGACAATTCCTCCAACTTAATTAAACGAACCGGCAAGGGTCGGCATGCTACTTACAATAATATATATATATATATATATATATATATATATAATATATACTACAAATTATATCATCGAAAACCAACTTTGGATTACACGCAGCCAACATAATGAACCCAAAAATATGGTGTTTTAATGTGGAGGGATTCGTAAGATGCTCAAACGTTACATATAAGTATTCAAATAAAAGAAATTACGCGTAATTAGTTTGTAAGTCTTTCGATACAATTATACTTACGTCTAATTTAGTTATATTTATATAAATTATATGTATCAATTGGATTCAATTTGGTAATAAATATTAAATTATAATTTATAACATTTATATGTAATAATTACGTGAATCTCGGAGTAACAAAAAATAATAGCGATACAAGTAATTATAATAGAAAGATTATTTAAAAGAAAAACTTTAGCTAATATCAAATTTTATATAACTTTA